ATACTTTACATAAGTAAATGGAATACTACAAAAGTTTTGGCAATCACATACAATGTATGTACTGTGACTGTTTGCATTACTTTATTTGTATATCATGGTAATGGATTCATTAATGTGTATATTACTTTAATGTTGCAGTAGGAGATGATTTTAATTACTATGTATGTATATTAATTACTGTATATTGCCTGAAACTTTCAACTATAATAACAGAGAATTGTATAGCAGCAGATTTATAGTTTAAAATGAGCAAAATAGTAATTATTTAAAGCTTGGAAGTAATGGTATGAAGAACAAAAACAGTATTTGCATCCAAAAACTGTTAAGTAGAATGACCTGGAAATACAAGTACTGTAAAGTACTTGAGTAAATGTAGTCAGTTTACACGTCACTAGTGGCCCTATCTTTACCAGTGGTGATAGCACATGCATGTATGTGACATGTGGGCTACTTTGTGTTTGTGGTGGTGTTGCTTCTTTGTTCCTTTGCGTATGCCACAGGAAATACACACATTCATTTAAAGAATATTTTTGTAGTGCCATTTCTGAGTTTTGTAAATTGTCATGTATACATTTTTCATCGTGGTCAGAGGAACTGTAGGAGAAGGGGCAGGTAGGATGTTGGCCCCTTTCACAGAGCTGGAGCCGAGGAAAGGGTAGTGATCAAGGCAGTGGCTTTACCCTTTCCAGTACAAGTCAGTCTTTTAACCAGTGAACATTTCACTGACGTGCATAAGAAGGATGTGAGAATAACTGAAAACAAATTACTCCAGGGTGAACTAAGACCAAAGCAAGAAAGAAATCACAGCTAGCTTTCTAAAGCAAACCAAATCAGACAATCAGCATATGAGGGAAGCCTTTATGAGGAACACTTACAAAACCTGCTGAAGTGAAGCCAGCGAAAGAATTCTGTCCCTACTAAACTGGCTCATTCCTCAGGGTCTGGTTTTGAAAGGGAGCAAACCGCCTGGGCCAGCCTCTTCCTACCGAGCTCTGAAGTTGATTCAAAAAGGACCAAAATCAGAGAGAATAAATTAAAATATCTCCACACAAATGACAGCAAGTGGAAAACCACACAGGGGTGATTTTAATAAAGATAATCTTTAATTAAAAAAAGATATTCTGCTGCCCTTGCCATTCTAGAGCTCCAGGCGGTGCCCTGTCCCTGCCTCTCTGCCAGTGGCAGGGACCAACACACTACTTACCCCGACTGATTTATTATCATTAGTTGTAGCCGTGATGGAGGCGGTAAGAATGATTACTTTGGCATTTTTTCCACCACCTTCCCACCCCTTCTGATGCAGCCCCCTGGTCAGACATTGTGGGACACAAGCATATATAGATATAATGATTCAGTCTTGTTTGTCTTGTATTTGTTTTGTGTCTCCTCAATATCCTTGACCGTGCTTATTGTTTTGCAGGCAATAAAGTAAAAAACAAAAAGGCAACAGCACTCCAGTTTCAACTGAGAAGGGAAATCACGCAGGGAGACAGTTAAAATGGAGCAATGATCTCTTTCCATTTGTCAAATAACTCCTCATGAAGACAGCAGTGGAAGTCTTGAGTAGCAGGAGCTGGGTAATTATGTGAGGGAGACATATGGGAAGGAAGCAGAATATGATGGAAGCACTTGCTCCAGACTTTCCAGGGTGGATTCTCAGCTTACTGTCTTCAAAGTAGCAACATTTGCACTCTTTGCATTAGCCGATCCACTTTTAGGTAATGCCAAACTCATGGTGCTGATATGCACATCTAAAGCCAAAGGACTGAGCGTGTGTTTGGAAATAAGCCTGCTCCGGCCCATATGTCTCATCAGTATAGAAGGAGACGATTTACAGTGACACATCTGTGAAAGGATGCCAGGATTTTTAGAGCACTTTTTAAATAAGAGTCTGACAGGGGACCTTGTTCAGCGAGTCTGCTAAAGAAGAGTAGACAGATGTCCATCATATTTTTAGTGGTGTGTGGCAGATGTTATTAGAAAATCGATGGACTCAATGTGCTGGTGTTATTAAAGCAGAGGTAGACATGTTTTTGCTTTAACTTATAATAAATTATTATTATTGCACAGTATAATAGCCAACTGAATATTAATGTGGTCAACAATTAGACTGGCGCTCACCGAGAAGAGGAAAGCATTTTTATTTCCTGTAGTTTTCCCCACGTCGCTGACACGGTGGAAAGTGGAAACAAAGTAACGGTGGATACAATCCGCCAAAAGAAAACGAGCTCTGTTGTTAAAAGGGAAGGCATAAGGTGAAGTGGTAGAATCACAGAAACCAAAAAGTAAAATAAAAGCGAGTGTCAAATTAATGGAGAGAGCTCCCCAACATGAGAGGGTTTAGTTGTTACTGTTTCTGTTTAACAATTACTGCACAGGGGATGAAGACACATTAAAGTTAGGCCCCAGTCATATAGCCTTAGAGGTAAGTTGAAAACCACCAGTTGCGAGGTTAAAATGTGTAATGCACGATTATCTGCCAGCTGGTTTTTGGCCACTACTGCAAAATCAATTGCTAAAGATTGATTTATGCAGACCTAGAGAGTTGTCTGTGAACCCAAAGCAACACAACATGCCACTGGCTAAAGACACTCAAGAACAGATGGGAACCAAAGTGATCTATCAGTCTGGAACGGGTGACAAAGCCATTTCAAGGAGAAAACCGATAGTGAACCTTCCCAGGAGAAGTCGGCCTATGAAGATTACAACAAGAACGCGCCCACAACTCACCCAGGAGGTCACAAAAGAGCCCAGAACTGCAATAAATGAAATCATCATTGAAAAAATGTATTTTGTATTTACTCGGGTTATCAGTGTCTAATATTAAAATTTGTTTGATGGCCTGAAACATTCTAGTGTGACAAATATGACAAAAAACAAGGAAGTCAGGAAGAAGAAATACTTTCTTTCATCACTGTACATTTCCCCCGTAGCAACTGAGGGTGCCAGAGCGTCACCAGCTGGTCTCCAGGCCTGTGTGACTGAGGTTTTGCCACTTTCATTATTTAGTTGGCAGACTTTGCCCCAAAACCTTTAAATTAAGTCGATACTTCTATTGATTTTCACCGCATTTCCATTTAGTTATTTTTGTATATCATTATTTAATGTCGCTGCTTATCAGTGAAAACTGTATCTGTGTTTTTAATTGGTAAGGGAGAATCCTCCCTTAGAGCGACAAAAAAACTGCAGATCATCCCAATGAATACCCCGCACACACACAGAGGATATCTTCTCTGCTCTTGCCTGCAGATGTTGTTGTAGATGCATTTGAATCAATAATGGGGAAAAAAGAGTCCATTTTTATTCTATAAATAATAAGATTTGGTAAAAATGTGTCTTCATTGATTTTTTATATTTTTATCTTCATCCTGTCTCTGAAAAACTAGAAGAGGAACAATCTTTGCCTCCATAGATCAGATGCACTACACACGGTCATTTTTAGGTCTCCAGATAAAGGCAAGGGAATTTCTCCTACAGTATGTGTGTGAGGGATTTTTCCTGAAGACTTTTTTTGGGCGTTTCTTTTCAAAAGATGTTCAAGTCAAAGAAAAATAATGTTAGTTTAAGCCAGTGGCTGTAATACTACTACTACTAATAAAAATGAGAATAATAAATTGCATTTATTGAATTATTTAAAGTAAAATGTTCTGTTTCAAGATTCCAAAGTTGCTCATATGAGATATTTTCAAAGTTTTATTACCCTCAGTCAAACACAAATCAGTTCAACATTATATTTGTTTGAAAGTGAAAAAAATATTAAGCACCAGCACGTAGCTAGACTGGAAACGGGGGGATGCCGTCAGCCTTTTTTACACGTTAAAAATAGAAGCCCAACAAACTTTCTACAGCACAGAGACATTTGGGTTATATGAAAAACACGCAAACCTGTAAGTTGGAACGCTTTGAAAGACTTTTAGTAGGTAGTTTATATTAATTTTAGGATGTTGCCAGGCATACTATTATACTATGACTCTTCTTTGGCTATAGCTTCATATTAAATGCATCTAAAAGGGGGAACGAATGTCATTTCCATGACCTGACACTCTGCAAGAAATATAAAATCGTAAAACGCTTTTTTTTGTTTGCTTTTTTTAACTGTTATTGTGGAGATATAGGAGCTGGTTTAAATTGGATGATATCTATGTGTATGTCAAAATATAATAACTGTCAGTGGATTGTAGCCAGAGGACAGCAACACGTTATAAATATTAGCAATATCACAGCATCACGCCAAAGACAACTGAGGGAGTCTGCACAAAGCCTTCAGAGAGGAACTCGCCTCCAGCCTGACAGAGCTGTACTGTACTCTATTTACAGAATATACCATGAAAATCTGTCACAAGAGCACTGAAAAAAACAGAGATACTCTCACAGGCAGTTACAAAAATATCAGAGAACTATTAACACATGCCCCGTTATCCTGTACAGTGTGATAACAGGTTGATGTGACCACTGAGGTACTTTGGGGAATGAAAACAGGTTTTAGTGTTTGAAGTGCATGGATCACTGTATGGAAGAGAGTCACCTCTGTTGAGCCAGACAGATGTAATATTTTATTGATCCCTGCTGAGAAACTCTCTCGTCGATTGTTTCTCGCAGTGAGGTCAAAGCGCAGCGTTAGTTACAGATGTGAACAGCACCTCAGAGCAGGGTGGGAATTCAATGTCAAGCTCAAGGACGCTTCAGGATGGATGCATGCTGACATGTGGAAAGCTGCATCCTCCAGCTAAACGGGCAAGTCAACATTTATCTTTGGACAAATTGAAAATGAACAACAATGATTGATCCATTATTAGGAATTAATAATGTTAAGTCATTGCCACAGTAACTGGATCTGCACAGAGACATTATAAGAGTCCTGAATTTAAATCTGGGGGAAGGTTCAGCAACTGTAAAGATGGCGGTAGAGGTAAAATGTCCATGTGGAAAAAAAAAAAGCTTTTTAAAATCTTGTTTTGGGGCAAAATCACCAAAATGTTTGAGCATTTTTCTTAGATTTGACTGATGAAGAAGTTTGATCCATACAAACATAAATCAACTTCTTATTTGTGTCCATGTTATATTATTTACTGTATTTTGAATCCTGCTATGAAAAGCCTGTGTGCTGTCCAGTTGTATCACTGTGTGAAAAGCATGGCTAATATTCCAGTAAATGTACCATTAGAGAGTGGGTGACATGCATCCTGCATGCTCTGTCCAGGGAGCTTCTTCATGTAAACTACACAAAGAGTGCATATGCTTCTGAAGTGGACTATTTTCTCCCAAGTGTTAGATGTGCCAAAGGAGAAGCGTGGAAAATATCTGGCGCTTATTCTCTTCAAATTGTTTGTTCACGTGTGAAAACTGAGGGACGCTGCATGCTCATACAATAACTTGTCAGTTACAACAGAGCCACATGACTCAGAGTTATTCAACTCCACTGCCCTAAAGAATGCTTTATTTATACATATATATAAATGTTTGCACAGCTGAAGGCCCTTACTATGCGCCTGTGATGGTTTTACTTTAACTATATTGTTTTACACAGGTTAGCCTCACAGCAAGGAGGTCCTAGTTTGAATCCACCATCTGACCGAGGCCTTTCTGTCTTGATTTTTTATGGCTTTAGCTTTGATAGAGCCAGTGAAGACTGACAGGAAAGTGGAGGGAAGAGAGAGGGGAAGACGTGCGGCAAAGGGCCGCAGGTTGGACTCGAACCCGGGTCATCTGCTCTCAGCCTTGCGGCATATGGTCGCCTGCTCGTTCCAGCGATCTCAACCGGCGCACCACACTAGACTCTTTTAAGACTCAGAAGCCAATAGGTGAAATCGACTGAGAAAACTGAGCAATTATGCTTGACAGGATATTGACTTACAAATCACAAGATAGCCACATACCCTGTTTTATCACTAATTTTACGCTAAACTGGATGACAATTTAGAAAATGACCATCATGCTCTGTTAAATGAGTCTTGAACCTAGCGACTGAGACCACAAACCCATCAGGAAAGGGTTCACTGAGCTTAGAGAACAAGTGAGAAGTAGGACTGTTTTTCCATACACTTCTAGACAACTTGAATTCTTTTTGCCCCCTGCCAGCCATGAGAAAGAATACAGGTTTACAACACTTCTGCAGCTACTTTACTTGTTAGACCCAGATACTGTGTCAATTTCTGTTGAACCTATGCATATTCCCAGATTCGCTGTTTTCTGTTGAGGGTTACTAAAATAGATTTGCATGCTTTAATTTTAAAAATGCAAAACTGCTGACACTCTGTGTAATCAGTAGACAGAGATGAGAGATTTCTGTGTTGTGTTTCGTGAAAATATTGATGCATATCAGACAATCTATATGCTGATATATACGTGTGATAGGCCAATAGGTCAACTGCTAATAATGCCCAACAGATATATCGATCTGGTTCTAGAATAGTGCAATCATGTGGTGGGATTAGCACTGAAAAAAAAAAGTATTTATAAGAATGGTGCTACAGAAATTACCCAGCAGGAGGAACGGTCTGACGACACCAACTTGGAGGTCCAGGCTGTTATCTTCTACAAATCCACACCCATTTCCCTCCTCCAGCTCTTCAACCAGCTCCACATCTCCCTCTCCTCCATCACTCCTCCTCTCCAGCAGCTTTTTGCCTGTCACTGTGGTAACACGCGTGGACTGTTTCTTCAGTCGGTCTTTCGCGAAGCCGTGGATCTCCTGAGCCAGTGAATGCATCTCAACAAAGTTTACGGGACTCGCCTGAAACATGCAAACGTATATTTAGCTGGAGCATTAAGTTTGTAATTGATTTGTTAAGTATTGGTAATGTATAGTTACACAAACTGGGCTTAAACTGTGTATGCCACAAGAAATGTTAAACTGAAAAGGGAAGGCACTGTAAGAAGTGAAGCTGATGTCTGAATGTAAACACATCACACGTTAGTTTCTCTACTTTTGCACTAACCTGGTTTAAATGGACTGGATTCAATCAAATTTCCGCAAAAGATTAGACCGCTGCTGCCTTAAAAGGGCTTTATGCCATCGCTGCAGTAGAATCTCACATTATCACAGC